CTAAGGCTTGCTCAACACTGCAAGATGAACGTGGAAGAGCTGGGAAATGAACCCAGGTTCCCTCATTTCAAATCCAATTCAAAAACATCACCTTTCTTTCTGAATTGGATTTGAGACTACCGTAATGTCTTCATGAAAAAAAAAAAAAAGGCCATGTCACTGATAAATATGCACAGAGTTTTAGTAGTCTGCAGCTAAATACAGGAGGACATACATATGCTGTGAATGGAAGGATTGGTTTTATTTAAGCTGAACATAGGTGGAGGCTCTCTGACAGCCTGCACTGTGCAGAATGATGACAGCAGAAATAACCACTTTGCTTCACAGAGACTTCTCTCCCTGTGAAGCCTCCTGTCCTAGAGGGAATAATGGTTTGATAAAGGAGAATAATTGGTCCAGGTCAGGACTGATCAATGATCTTCAGCAGCCTAGAAAGGTAGTGTCTCCCAGCCAGCTGCAGCAGTCAAATTATGTAACTACGGGTGGTATATTTTGAGCCAGATTTATCATGAGAAGACAGCCCCTCAAACTGTATGATAGAAGGTGTGATGTAATTCTACCTCCCTAAACTGATTCATCCCTGGATATAAACAATGCCATGCAGGGCCTGGCCTCTCATGACCGTACTGGTGCAAGACGTTGAAATACAAACCTCTTCCTGGACTTATCCCTGAAAGGTGACATGCCATAGCATTCTGCACGCTCTTAGAAATCAGCACAGTCAGGAGTGCTTCCCAGACAATGCCCAGAGTCCTAAGAGTCTTGGCAGGTCCAAGCCCAAATCTAGACCGTGCACTGTGCTGCACTTCTTCAGACTGTCATTGCAAATAACCTTTCTACTAGGCTTTCGCAGTGCTACTTCCTAGCTGATCTGGCAAAAGCTCCTATCGAGCTGTTCCAGAGCTCCAGACGTATTTTTATTGTGTTTCTTTGCTTTTAAAATGTTCGAGGTTCTTTTCCTCCATTAGGAACCTAGATCAGCAGAGGCTGATCTAGGCTGAATAACGTTCTTGGCTATTCCTTTTGACGTAAGTAGGATTGTTCATAGCAATAAAGACTACACCTAGTAAAAAATATGTGCCCATTCAGACCCGGAATGAGCAATTTCCTCATTCCTCTTCCAGTCTGACATCTGATCCCTGTTATTTTGGTTCCTTGTAATCCACCTCACCAGCCTCCCTTTGACAGCCAGGAGGGAAACAAGGTAGGTTCCTACAATGAGTATGCCAATAACCTAACATTATGGGGATGTTATATTTAACAGTGATTAATGCAAAGGACATTCAAGACAGAGCCCTTAGAAGGCTTCAAACAGCTAAGTGCAGAGAAGGGAAACATAAGTGAGAAAAAAGGGTAAATCTCAGACTGTTCTCCTTACCTCTATAAATTATTTGCCATCCTTTTTTCCCTTCCCTAATTTAACTCCCACTTACCCACTTCTTCTCATTTTAGCCACCTTCTACTTTGAAACTGCCTGAGTCAGGTTTCCACAAATCACTATGTCAGCAGGAGCTAGAGAAATGCCTTTGGAACCCCCCTTTAGTTGTCTTTTTTGTTTTGGTTTGGTTTTGGTTTGGTTTTTTTTTTTTTTTGGTTCAGTATCTCAGGACCTGGTTGAGCAGTGGGGAGTTTTGGAAGGGAAAGAGGGAGAAAAGATCCTTGCTCATATAAACAGCCTGTTCCCACTCCTCACTGGACCCTTGTGCAAAACACCGACTAGTGACATAGAATCCACTCTGTAGAGAAGATTCTTATGACATCTGGAACCATTCATCTACAGAGGCATTCAGTTAGATGGAAGAAATCCCTGTCTAAGTATATGCCCAGATCACTGGTGTAGCACAGCCTCGGAGCCAGGGAGGTGCAGGAGGTCCAGAGAAGCCACATGCAGGAATTGCACGTGTTTGTACAGTGATTCCCTCTGGAGTGGGCAAACGGCAAGGGCTACAGTGTGCGCAAGAGGACAGGTCTGTGCTTGCCCTACAGATCTGCAGTCAGGCCTACTGCTCCAAGTCCCTTCACAAGGGAGCACAGAGGTGGCCAAAGCTGATACTGGAGCTCAAGAGCTATGGTGATGACTATGCAGCTGCTTTGTGCTTTTTTTCTAATAGCACTGTGTCACCACTGGTTCCTGAGTCCCAGCAGGTCCCCACACAGAGCTCTTTTACTCTAGCTTTGGAAGGAATCAGCTTTTGGACCAAAAGGCACTTAATTATAGTGAAATGAAGAACTATGGAAGGTGATGCATAGGTTCTTGATAGCTTACTTCACAGCGGTTACTTTTGTCCTTTCAGCGAAAGCAATGTAATTAAGCAAAGTGCTGCCAGACTGAGTTTGCCTTGCAGAAGGAGACAGAACTACAACGAATTAAGCACATAACAGAGCAATGGAAAATCAGCACTCCTCCACAGTTCATGCAGTGAAGCATTCACACTGTGTTGGTTGAATTATTTTGTAGAATACATTGAATTACCCATTATTTGGATGCTTGCAATATAATATAGGAATGCTAATGCTACACTGATTTGGATTTTGTAAGTGGTTAACTTATAAATCCTCCTAATCAAACAAGTGCAACCAAGATGAGGATTAAGGTTGTTTTGGGGGTGCTGCTTTTAAAAGTTAGTGCTGCCAAATTTCAACTTTAAGAGAAGGTGTTATGTGTGCAGTTGCTAATGTTACTGCTCAGCCTGTAATGAGATTATGGTATTGTTAAATTAAAGGAATTCCTGTTCCGTGGTGTTGTTTTTGGCTGATCCAGTATTGTGGGTTAGCTTCGTGTGATGTATTTTCTTTAGAACAAATTTCCTTCAATTCATCAGCAGAGGTTCAAGTTGCTCTGCTAAGAGTTTGTGACATTTTTTTGGAAGTAGTTATAAACATGCCAATGAAAAGTTAACAGATTGTCAGGAACACTCCCTTGGGAATGACGTTTCTATTTTTTCTTTACTCTTTATCTTTTGTTTATCCTCTTTTCCTTTTCAAAACTGTATCTTTCCAGCCCTGCAAAATTGTTGTCTGGAGCTGTCTACTTATGACACAGTTCTAGAGAGTTGCAGAAAAATCCAGACCAGGCAAGAACAATCTAATTATCCACTAGAGTGGAGGCCTTGAGCAATAGAGATTCCAGAGCAGTTAGTGGTTACTGTAGATTTTCTTCCTAGCTCTCTCACAGACTCGTCAGATAACCTTGGTCATTCTTTAATCTGTGTCTGTTTCCTTATCTCTAAAATGGGAAAGATGATAATACTTTACAGGCAGCGGTCGTTGTGAGTTTCAGCTCACGTAGGCAGATGGCTAATGGTTATGGAAAGGATTGAACAACACTCAGTTTCTGGTTGTCTCTCAGACACTAGACTAGTCAGTCGGGGTCTTGTCCCTCCTACACAACACAGCAGCTGTGTAGACTGCAAACTAGTTCTGCACAGCACTGTACTCAACACCATGCAGAAACGCTAGCCCAGATCCCCAAGTAATATACATCTGTTGAAGGACAATTCTTAGGAAGGAGCAGTGTTAATGCAATATAATTGCAACTGTCCTGGTCCCAGGACCTGAAGTGGTATTTTAGGAGAAACATCCTGGACAACATTCGAAAATATGGGTATCTACAATTGAGATCTTAACCATGATTTAGCCCCTGTAAGTTTAAAAGATTGGTGCAAACATTCATGCGTAGGAGTACCTATCATCTGACTTGTTAGATCTATATCTAAAGAAGAGAAGGTGGCATGACAACAACCATATTGCCACAAGCCATGTCTGCTATTCCTGAGTCCCCATAGAGGATGAACTGAAGTGCACCACTGCAAATTGATTTCAATCAGTTATTTCAGATACAGCCACAAAGATAAATGTCAACAAATTATCATTGGTGCAATAGCTGTGGAACCACCAGCAGGTCACCTGTGGATTTGTCCCTAAAGAGAAATAGGTATGTTCCTACACTTCATAAAAGACAGAAGTAGTTAATGTGCACAGCAAAACTAGAAACAAAAATGCCCTTTAGGAGTGAGCTCTCTGGCAGAGCAATCTGGATCATGACAACAGAGTATGCCCATTAAGTACTTAGTCAGTGGGAAGAGGCATGTGATCGTAAGTAACATAGCTATGTCATCGATCTTGGTAATTACAGATAAGAAAACAGGTTACTCAGCCAAGCAGTGCAGAGAGATTAATTCAAATGATACAGTGTCTGTAAGAACAGGCAGGGGCAAATAGAAAGTTTCAAGCAAAAGAATGCTTGTTATTTATTTTGCTTATAAGTTCTTTATATTTTATACAGAAATAAACCATTCTTAGAAATTCTAATCAGCTCGCTTAATACAAATGCCCATCCAAGCCTTTTTAAATCTATTACGAGAGTTGGGGGGATAAAGGCCAGAGAGGAATATTAGGAAGACAAAAACAATGGAAACAGCCAATGAATGACCCTTGTTATATAGCCCTGTTCAAACATGTACTTTCCTTAACAAGTGCAGTAAACTGCAGCTTTGAATTGGATACGGAAAGAAATACTCCCCCCCTCCCTGGCCCTGAAAAGTTAGATTGAGCTCAGTCATGAAAGCTGCTCTCTTTAATGTGGCAACAACAGGAATACAAGAGCTTCACGTTTCCCTTTTATATGTTTAACCTTTGACAAAAAGGTTAAACACTTTCCTCAGTACTGACTCACATCAGGAAGCACAAGAACTATATTCTCCAGATGAAGCCCGGCTAGCTGCAAAGTGCAATGTCAGCGTCTGAAGTGAAGTAAAACAAGGATTCCTTGTGCAGTCCCTAGTACTGCTTCAGGGGCAGGAAATGGGTTAGCAATAGGGTCTTTTCCAGCCAGGAGAGAAGTGAAATAGTGGTGAGAACAATAAGGGGGGGGGAAAGGGAATTGGCTCTAATTTCAAACATCTCAGAAGCCCCCTAGCAACATAGCAGGAAAGCTTACAAAACATGAAATGGAATATCTGTGAAAGCTTTCCGTGTTTCCATGCTTTGCCTTACAAATATATCAGGACCAGATCCTCATCTGGTGTCAATATGCCTAATTCCCTTCACTTGGCTGATGAACATAAGCTCAGATTTGGCTGGACGTGCCGGGTTATTCATCAGGAACCTCAGGGCCAAACTCCTGAGCTATAACAGCTCCAAATGAAGTCAATCGAACCTGCAAGTACTTAGCATCTCTCAAATTCAGGCCTCAGGACCAGACAGCGCCACTGATTCCTGCTTAATGCCCTACGTCAAAACTGGCTAGAGATGTACTCTAGGTTAAATACAGGTTGTATTAGGTGGGACAGAGTCACCTGCTGAGCACAGAGGAGCCAACGGCTGCAGGTAGCCAGGGAACACAGAGCACTGGCCTTTACCCAGGATGAGCCATAAGGAAATTACCAAAGGGGTTGCAGGAGACCAAGAGTGACTCCTCTCCTCAACCCAGTATTTGGGGTGGTGTGGGCCACCTACACAGGTGAGAGCAGGCTTGCAGAACCCAGCAAGAGGAGCCAGAAGTGCAGTTCTTCCACCTGGAGCACACTATGGAATGGGAGAAGAAGAGAAAATGGCTGTGAGCAATCAGCATCTGGAGGTAAGGTCTGCCTGTTCCCATGGATAGACCATGGCTGGTATGACAGCTGAGCAACAGAGATCCTGAAACAGTCTTGGCAGACCCACAAAAGAGAGCTGTGGCTCTGACATGGACAGGAGACAAGTTAATGTGATGCAGGGCAGATGGGGGTCAGGACTGGCAGTGGAGCTGCTACCTCACCTTCCTAATGGCAACTTTATAGTCTGAGTTGGGGACAGGGGAATGTGGGATGTGAAGTACTAAATGCTGTTCTTGCGAGCAGATACTCTCTGAGGTGACCTCTGGGTACCAAACCTGCCATGTGCCCCAGCTTAATCTCTCTGCTCTGGTCCCCACAACTCTGATCAGCCGTCTTCCTTCTACATTTCGATCTGCCTCACTCTTCTTTGGTAGGAGAGAGCCCACTAGAAAAAAGCCAAAGGGCTCTAGCTGCTGGGCTTCTTGCTGCCCGAGGCTTCTCAGCTACTCCACCTCTCCTTGCTCCTAGCTACCAACTCACCCAAAGCCCTGCTCGTTACATCATCTGCCCTAACCTACCTCATGCTACCCCCGCTTCTGGCAGTAGCAGCAGGAAGTGAGACACAGGGGAATGCTTCTCTTGCCTGCAGCACACATTTCAGGGTAGAGAGGTGAGCTGGCACCTCAGCTTGGCCTGGAACACAAAAGCTCTTGAAAACCACAGCACAGTGTAAGGAATTTAGGAAATGGCTGTGGCCACGTTCCCGGTTCCCTTCTGCACAGTAAGGCAGTTGTGAAATTCTCTGTAGGACAGCACAGCATGGGATGTTGTCCGGGTGTTGTCCAACAACATCCCCTTCAAGACTATGTGTAAAGAGGATGTGAGGAAGAGGCCATTCCAGGACTCCCTTGACTCAGAGGGAACATAGCTGCTTGGCACAGCAGCACAAACTCCTTCAGCCACGCTGGTATGGATGCAGGCTTTGCAGCATATTAGGGCATGGGCAGAGTCTTCTCTGTATCAGACCTACAGGGAGGTGATGCCAAACTATGAAAAGAAATAAAAGAATAAAATCAGATCCATAGGGGTGATCTGTCCAGCACGTCCAGAGAGTGTCAGTCCTCTATGGCCTGCAGCCCTGAAGTTCTGCCTCCAGCTTCTTTCACTGTATGTGCAGTATAGTGAAGGGGAAAGTCCTAGCTCTGGGACCTTGCAGGGCTTTTCCTCGGGATCAAGAACAAATTCACTTTAAGGGAAACAGAATTTGGCTCCAAATTAGTGATTCAGTTCCCCTCCAACACCAAAACTAAAACAAGTTAAAAATAACTCTTCTGTGGTTGAAGAGTATTCACAAATCAGGCGATTTCTCAGACACTGGGACGAAGAGGATGAAAAGGAAGTGCTGCCACTGCCAATCCACTGACCTGCAGCACATGTTGCACTGAATGGTGCTACCAGGGGTGCAATATCTACCTCAGTGCCCCCCAGAAAACCCACCACTGCATTAAACTATGGGGTTATACTGGGTTTAGAAATGGCAGTGAGGATTGTAGAAACCAGCATGTTCCAAAATTATCAGATAGCTGGGCTACAGCATTTTGGTATCAGCTGTGCCCATCCTGCTCCTCTCAGAAGAAACCTTTGAGCGCAATGTTTTATATCAAATCCTCATCATATGCCACAGAAATTGTCACAGAAACACTGCATTTTCTGCAGCTTGGTATATGATGCTATCAGGCACTAGGTGGCGATGCAATTACAATATTGGCAGTGATATCACAAAATTATGCTGTAGTAAAAGTGTTTAAATGATTATAATCTAGCCACCTTCACATATCGTTATTGATCCAAAACGAAAATTTTACTACTTTCAAGCAACTGCCTGATATGCACTGACTTTCTGATCCTATTTTATAGGACAGATTTGACCTTCAAAAGACTAAAAGGAAGGTCATCTCCAGAGCAAAGTAATTGAAAGCTTTCAGCAG